TCACTTGTCAGTCACAGAGACGTTCTCAGGAAACAATAGTTGACCACGGCGTCACCGCAGAAGTGCGTTGGTGTGATGCACTCGCAGTAAAACCAAGGAAATAATTTTTACAGTGTTGTTTTATCACTGACACCCTTTGCTTTTCTTTTACTTCTTTTCTTTTGCAATCTGCTTTTCCCAATCCACTACAGAAGACTACTAAGAAGGTAAGAGGGTCTTAATTATGTTCATTTATGGTTTAGCAACCATCTACTCAAGATGACTGTAATCTATTTTGAGTTTGCATATAGCATTGTGTACCATCAAAGAGCAATGTGGCTGAAAACAACTGTCTATCAGTATTTTTTATGCAAAACGATATGACAAACTTTTATTCCAGTACTTATTTGCTGTAAGACTTTGAGATTTATTACTTGTTTGAGCAAAATTCAAAATAGGTGAGTTAAGGGGAAAAACTGCAACACAAAAAGGTAAACAATTGCTGGACAATTCCCCTCCCCCCCACCCCCCGTGTTCGTTACTGTCATTGTTTAATGCAATTGTTATCCCCCCCTTTCTCATAGCTACAGAGTTTATACGAGTGCTGTTAATTAAAGAGGTTCTTCTTGTTACTTATAGTCACAGGGTAAAGATAATGTTTCCGGGCTGCAGGTTAAAAACATATAGATTTTTTTTTTTTAGCAATTCAATAAACCTAATATTTATTAAAAGCAAATTTATTAAAAAAGCAACACCTACATGCCATACAGGCTGAACCAGCAATCCTGGTATGGGAGGAGGGTGTGAATAATAGTAATTGTGGCTGAGACACAAAAACGTTTAAAGACCTGACAGTATATGTGCTAAAACAGTGGTTCCCAACCTTTTTTTGCCTGAGACCCCCTTTTCCCCGAAAAATATTGCAAGGCCCCCCTCCACATTTAATGATATAATCGTTTATAAAAGTTTGCAGTAATGATGACAAAAAATGTTGTTTTCAAACAAACGGTATGTTTATTACTATATCTAGATATGTTTATGCACAAATATTAGCCTAATGTTTCCCAGAGATGGGTTGCAGCTGGAAGGGCAACCGCTGTGTGAAACATGTACTGGAAAAGTTAGTGGTTCATTTCTCTGCGGCGATTCCGGATGAATAAAGGGACTAAGCTGAAGGAAATAGAATGAATGAATGTTCAATGGTTGAGAAGTGAGGATAATGTCACCTCATTGTAAACAGTTTTTGCACATTTAGTACTTTTGCGAAAGAAGATTATTGCAGATTTATTGCAATAAAAGTCAAATAAACTTAAACAGTAAAATAGTTTACATTTCAAAAGAAGTTACTACCTAATTTGTGAAAAGCATAAAGAAAAAAAATTCCCTATTTAGACCTTTGAGTTTTTCTTCTGTTTGTCACAAAAAAAGATATTTTGAAGAATGCTGGTTGATGGAAGTCAGTGGGTGCATCTTTTGTGTTCATTAGAAAAAAGAAACTCAATAGGTTTTTATCAAGTGAAGAGTGAGTAAATGAATTTTGAGTGAACTATCCCTTTTATTGATGCAGGACACAATTCATTGACTGCTAATTCATTAATTTGATCCACTATTAACAATTAACTTTGTGTTTTGTTCATGTTTTGACCCAGAAACATGAATGCATCGATTTTGCTTCGTCTACTATTTCAAGGTACACTATCTGCCTTCCTCTTTTGGGAATTTCACTGTCACAATAATTGGCAAGATTTACCTATCATCTCATAACAGCTAGCTCTACATAAATGTTTACTGCAGTCCAGTTGAATCTTTTGACAAATATGCAGACTACAAAGTTTGGTGTACACCCACAAACAAAATTGAGTTAATGTTCACAACCACTGTTCTTCAACTTTTGTCTGTCAGGTGTTCTGCTGTTTAGTGCTTTAGGATGGGAAGTGAGAATGCCAAAGGAAATTCACGGCCTCAAAGGTTCCTGTCTGGTGATTCCATGTTCTTTCAGCTACAAATCAAACCCACCCAAAATTAAAGTTAAAGTTGTGTGGTATCAGTATCGTTGGCACTCTGTAACTTATCCTTTAGTTTATGATCCATTCCAAGAAAATAAAGTAATTGACAAGTTCAGAGGAAAAACTGACTTATATGGAAACTCAAGTGGTGATTGTAGTCTGCTGATCAGAAACCTGGAACAGTCCCATGATAGAGAGAAAATATACGCATGGATCGACCCTGAAAATGCTAGAAACAGATTCTATGATGTCACTTCTACAATCCATGTCAACAGTATGTGAAAATGTTTTTCTTCTTCCTATGACTACTGATCTAGTTTTTAGAATGTCACCTAATTGTGTAATTTCTTCTGTTTTAGCACACCCACAGCCACCCAGCATCAGTATTTCTGGAGGAGAGAAGATGGGGGACAAGATTACAGTAACATGTTCAGCTTCCCACACGTGCCCATACAGCGAACCAAACATCACTCTGAACGGTATTGAAGGATCTGACGAAATAAATGAAGAGTGTAGTAAAGACGGTCAGTGCAGAATCACTCTGACACGCTCAGGTGTCATAAAGGCGGAAAACACAGTTTTTGAGTGTTCAGTAACACATCATGGTGGCATAAATACATCAGCTGCAAAAGACAAAAGTGCATTATGTGAGTAAAATGCATTGCAGAATTGCATTTTAAAAATACTTTTATTAAGATCCTACACAAACACATAATGTTAAATTTCAGGTGTTCATCAAAGCATCACGATTGAGCCTGAAATAGTAGATGTCACTGAGGGCGTCGCACAGAACTTCAATTGTACCATCCACCATTCCTGTCAGAAGGAGAATCCAACCATCACATGGAACTACGAGAACATGCAGGTCTCAGAGGGGACAAAGATACTTTCTGGTGTTGATCGAGTCGCCTATTCTACCATAACATTTTTGGGTACCACAGAAGACCATGGGAAGAATTTAGCATGCAATGCACAATTTTCTGGAGGAAACATCACAGCATCTGTTGCTTTATATGTGCAATGTGAGTAAACGCAAATATGGACAGAAATGTGTGCTTTAGTCAGTTTAAATGTCACAGTGGGGGCTTTCATGATATGTACATTTTTATGTTAGGCATTGAACATAACATAACAATTGAGCCTGAAATGGCAGAAGTCTCTGAGGGCGTCACACAGAACTTCACTTGTACCGTCCACCATTCCTGTAAGAAGGAGAATCCAACCATCACATGGAACTACGAGAACATGCAGGTCTCAGAGGGGACAAAAACACTTTCTGGTTTTGATCAACTCGTGTATTCCACCATTGCTTTTCTTGGTACAAAAGAAGATTATGAAAAGAAGCTGATTTGCTCTGCAGAATATTCCGGAGGAAACATCACAGCATTTGTTCCTTTACATGTACCATGTAAGTAATTAGTTAGCGTAGCATTTGAAGTGTGTGATTTCCATGTTCAATTCACCATTACAATGCCTTTGAGATGTCTGATCATATGTTTAGTTTTGTTCTAATAATAATAATTAACCCTTTCATTTATTTTCCACCATAAAGCAGTCATGATGGTCATTAGATCAAAGATTATAGGTCTTTACGTCCTGGCGCCCTCACTTGTGTTTATCTTCGCTTGCATACTTGTTGGAGTCATCATATGGAAGAAGCGACTCAGGTAAATATTTATTTACAAAACTGGATTCATTTTATCAGCCACGATGTTCAATTATTGAGTATAAGTACAGGAGGACTTGATTTAAAAAGCAGATTTCGGTCTGTTAAACTGTCTCTGGGTTTTTTTTTTTTGGAGAGATTGATCAGATTGATCATTATTGCATATTTGGGTCTTTAATGACCTGGATGTAAATATTCAATGCTGAGTTCACACCAAACGCGAAGCATTGTCTTATATCTTTAACTCTTTAGCTTCAAGCTTTACATGTGTTTTTCACTTCAGCTGAGGTTTTAGAACTTGTGCAGAAGACACCATTGAGGCAAATTTGATGCATTCCTCATTCAGCATCATTTGGGTCATATAAATTCACCTACAGTATATTCGAGCCTTTGCATTGACTTTATATGCAATTTCCTCAGGCAAATGTTTACATTTGCTTTTGTCAACCCAGCAAAAAAAGCATCTGCTGCAACAGCAATAATTAGAAACACTAACAGTTTTTGTCAACAACAAAAAAAGATTGTTGTGTGAGTTAATTTGTTCAACAATTTCTTATGAATATGTTATTGTGTATTAGTACAATGGTTCTCAAAGTGGGGGGTCGGGACCCCCCGAGGGGTCGCGGGACAACGAAGGGGGGTCGCCTGATGATTTCCAAAAATCTATTTATTTTTATTAAACCATAAGAATTACCATATTTTATCCATAACCTACTGAAGAGAAAAAATAGTCGTTTATACCATATAGTTACTATGGTAGCTTATAGTTACTACTTCTATTGGATTGCAACCCCTGGGGTAATTACATTATATTAAAGACACAGCAATAGTGTTAGATGCAGCAGATTTCATAACACCTGGTAAAACTTTGTTGCACATTTACAGCTCTCATACATACTGTAAAAAAAATTAAAAGAAGAATAGACTTGGGTCCATTGGTGTGTGTGCTCCACTGCATGCAAGGTTTCTGTATTTATAACCACCTCAGAATATATTGGGGGTCGCGACTCACTGGCATTGTCATTTTGGGGGTCGTGGCCTGAAAATTTTGGAAACCCCTGTATTAGTATATGACGGCTTAAATTCTGCCATATTTGCTTATGTATGTAGATGTTTACTTAATGATATAAAGCAAGCAATGTAGATCAAAATACAGTATGGAGATAGTTGCATAGGTTTAAACATCTTAGTTTAAAAGTCACTGATCTGATGTTCATCATTTTTAGCCAACATCCAGAAATTGCTAATAAAGCATTGATCAGTAAATAATGAAGAAATCAAACAAAAGGGAAAAGGTTGACTATTAAAACTATCAACATTTTTTCTTCTTCACACCCTCTGTTCTCAGGCTAAACAATGAAAGTGCTGTGTATGAAAACAATCCTTTATCCAAACCCCACACGCCGTCACCAAAGAGGTACAGCGCTTTTTAAAGATATTTACATTTCTAAAAGTCTTTCTTCAATATGTGGAAGCTCAATTTTTTTATACTTTATAATGTTTATTTAGCAAAAACAAACCAATGTGATTTAAAATAAACAACTCCACTTTTGTATTTGTTTCATTGCACATCAGTGACCCAAAACCTCAACCAGTGAGTATTCATTTATTTCTGCTATTATTACAGTATGCAAGACTAATACATACTGAAATATGTTCACATCTAAATCTGATCCTCTTTAAATATTTCATTTAGAGTAAAAATGAAGCAGATTTATACGTCAACTTGGAAGATTTGTATGAAAATATCTGATGAGCAAACAATAGAAATGATCCCAATACAGCATTTAAAAATGATCGACTTTATTCAGCTTTATATAAGATCAACAGCAGTAATGATTTTAAAAAAAAAAAAGTTGTTAAGCATTTTATGGACTCAATCTTCAAACGTATTGACGCTTTATAAGCTTTATTTAGTATACAGGTTTACTATGTGCATCTATTTTTTTTTTTTTGTATTTTTCTTTTTACCTGGTTATTATTAAAGATGATTAAACCATATACGCATGTTAAGTGAAATAGCATTTGTAAATCTTGTATTTGTATCTTTTTGTATTTTGTGTCTTCATATTTTACTCTCTGCTTGTCATATGTCATATAAAGGCCTGAACTTGTTGTGCTAGTGCAACGTATTATTAACTGCTGTCATTAATTGTGTGTTTGTGTGTGTGTGTGTGTGTGCATATATATATATATATATATACACACATATATATACAGTTGAAGTCAGAATTATTAGCCCCCCTTTGATTTTTAATTTCTTTTAAAAATATTTACCAAATGATGTTTAACAGAGCAAGGAAATTTTCACAGTACGTCTGATAATATTTTCATTTCGCCAACAATAAAAGCAGTTTTTAATTTTTTAAAAGCCATTTTAAGGACAAAATTATTAGCCCCTTTAAGCTATATTTTTTTCCTGATTTCCTAAATGTTTGGAAAATGACATTTATTGTTTTTGTGATTATATATATATATATATAATCACAAAAACAATAAATGTCATTTTCCAATCATTTATTTGAGTAGTTTCCTGTTAAATGCATCATGCCCAAATATTTATTTTATGCATAGAGATGTATGCAACCAGCTAAATGTTTTCAGCTTAGATAAATTCAAGTTCATGTATTTTACAGTGCAATATGTTTATTAAATGTTAGTTATTTTAGTGAAACATAAATTATACTACTTTTGCAAGCATCCATATGGCGCATGGGTATGAGTACGTGTGAATAAGCAATTATTTATTTTAAGCATAGCTTAAAACACTTCAATATTGTATCATGTTACAAATAAAAACTCAAATTACACGTAAAATTATGCTTTTTTTTAACAAAATTATAATTTTCAAACAGACATGTATCAACAACACAGCTAAAGGTTTTAATACTTGATTTGGAAACTTGATTTATATTTTTATGTTTGAATATTCAGTTCTGTTTTCATCATTAGATCTTGAATTGCTCTTGATATATAGTTAAAGTTCATTTGAAAAATTTTGTGTTGCTTTTTATAGGCATCTAAATGTGTACTTTCCAAGTCTGTGGATTAACTGGTTAACAACTACACACTACTAAAAAAGCATCGTTAATTCAAAATAAAGAAATGTTTAGTTTACATAATAATACATCATTATTCATGTACAGTACTGTTATTGTAAAGTGTTACAGAAATCACACTGATTAATCAGTAAACCTATTAAAAAATCAGGGGAAATCACCACCTAATTTTCTTTTGTGAACACTGTTAACCCAATTTGTCAGAATACAGAAGGAAACACTTTAAGAAGAGGAACTGGTCAATGGTGCTAAATTCCAAATACTGTAGTTCATTCACACCAAAATTTGTTGATGTACGCAATACTTCAAATTTCACAAATCTTACATTATTTGAACACTATTGAGAATAATTTGTTATTGAATTATCAGACTGTGATTGAACTGTGGTTCTACAATGCACCAAAAACCAGGGATGTGCAGTCAGATGTCCCTTTTTTACGGAAAATGCAGCCAAAGGTCGCAAAATCCAGCTAAAAGTCCTACACAACAATAATAGTTTGATTATGTCGTTTACATGTCTGTACTGCACTTTAAAAATGTGATTGAACTGGAAATACTCCACATCTTTTAATTCGATTAGTGTTTAAGACGCTTATAGCTTTAAGCATATAAAGTGGTTTTTCGTCATGTTATCAGTCGTGGTTAATACGCGTGGCTGCAGTTGTAGAAACCTCTGTAGCAAAAAATATCCATTATGTCGCACTCACGCACCTCAAATGAGTGACGCTAAACTCCGAGGCCAGCCTGTAAGGTGTGTGCAAAGCCGTTGATGTGCGGTTCAAATCCAATCCATCCTCCAATCTTCAGTGCTAAATTCACCCTCACGCTCAGCCTGATCTCATGAGGAAACGTAAGTATTTTACGTTTTGTTAGTTCAGTGGCTAATTAGTATAAGTTCAGTCATACGAAATTGTATGATTTTAAAAAGGAGGCGTGGCACCTAACCCCACCCCTAAACCCAGCCTTCATTGGGGGATGAGCAAGTTGTACTAAATTGAACGAATTAGATTGTACGAATTCATACAAACTAGCCACTAAATCAAAAAGTTACGAATTGCCGTGAGATTGTGTTGTCACGCTCCACCATAACATCACAACTCATGAGACAACTTTTCACCTTGACGAGAAATCTTGTCGTGATTTAGTCTCGTGAGATTTCATGGCCCGAGATCGTGTCACATCCATAGTAGTTGGCAAATATATTGGGTGCATGTATTTATAAATATAACCCTGAAAGTGTCTCACTAGCCACAAACCTCACCACACATCACTGCCAAAAACCAATGCTTACTAGCATTTTACTATGGTTTCTTTTCATAAGAGAAGTCACCAGGTGACAACACTATTTGGTTCTCCTCACCCACTATGAAATGACATATGCACAAATTGTTCCTTGATAATTAACACATTTTTTTTTTCATATCAGATGTGTTGTTGACTCCTATGTAAAGACTAGATGAAGGGACTCAACATGGTATTCATGAGCAAAATCTAAAACCTCATGTGCACGTTCTTTGTGGTTTTCTTTCTGGAGGAAGAGGTTTTGAGCTACGTACTCTATCATTGTGTGAAACCAAGAACAATTAGTAGATGATCTTGTTTAAACTTGCTGGAAATTTAAACCAACTCAAAACTGAGATAGTAACACACAGGCTTTAAAATGTACCATTTGTGTTTTATAGAGGTCTTAAAAATGTCCTTCTTGTCAGTCACAAACATCAGTGTTCTTGTCAGGAAATACTATATTTGACCACTTTGTCACTGCACCACAAGCGTCACAGCAAGTGACTTGGTGTGATGCACTCTGGCCTGCAATAATATCAAGGAAATCATTTTTACAGGGTTGAGCTTTACCAATAACACTCTCTGCCTTTCTTTCACTTCTTTTATTTTGCAATCTGCTATTCCAAATTCACTACAAAGGACTACTGAGAAGGTAAGGGTGTCTTAATTATTTTCCTTTATGGTTGTTACAGTATTTGTGGTTTATAAACCCTCTACTCAAGATAACTTTAATAAACTTTAAGTTTGTATATCATTGTATACCATCAAAGTGCAGTGCAGCTAAAAACAACTGTCTTTCAGTGCTTATACAATAGCTTTGACAAACTATTATTCCAGTACTTATAGCTAATAAATATTCAAAATAGGTAAGGCAGCTAAGTAAAGCAAATTTATGAAAGAAAAACAAAGGTAAATAACATTTTCCTCTAATTACTGGATGATTTTTTTATGTGACATGTTCATAGTTAAATGCAACTGTTATCCACTTATTTTTCATTGTTACAGGGTTGGTATATTTGTATGGTGTAAATTATAGTGGTGCTTCCTGTTTCTAATAGTCACAGAGTAAATATAATGTATCCTGGGTGCAAATTATAATCATATTCAATAAATAGTGTAATTAATTCAATAAACTTAATATTTATCAAAAGCCAATTTTGAAAAGGACACAAACATTAGCTAAAACTGTATGTATAAGCATAACCCCTCTGATTTGACAGCTAGACGCCGGACTGTGGCCGAACCAGCCATTCCGGTATGAGAGGAGGGTGTGAAAATAGTAATCGTGCTAGGGTGCAAAGAAGCTTAATAATAGCCCTGACATTACGCATAGAGTATATCTGCTAAAACATTTACTCATTGGAGATTTTGGTGTTACAAATAGTCTGATGATGCTTTAATTTCTTCAGATCTTTTTTTATGTTCGTTTGTTTGCTTTACTTTTAGAGCACATTTAAAAACGACAGATACTGACCAAAGTGCTTTACAAAAAGACCAGCATATACAAAATCTATACCTATATATAAAAATAAGCAAAATATATAAAACAGATTAAAATTAATTGCAATCAAAAGGAAAGAGACAGAAGATTTTTTAGATGAGACATAAAAGCACCAAGTGAAGAACATGACGTGATATGTAAAGGCAGACCATGCCACAGTCGGGCGACTGCAGCAGAAAAAGCCCTGTCACCTTTTGATTTCAACCGTTTTTGGGGGACAACTAGCTGAAACTTGTTTTCCGACCTGATTGGCCTCAATGAAGTGTGCCAGTGAAGAAGCTCAGAGATGTAAATAGGTGCCAGAACATTCAAACTTTTAAAAACAAGTAGCAATAACTTATATTGAATCCTAAATTGGACTGGGAGCCGGTGAAGAGATGATAAAACTGGTGAGATACTAGAATTTTTTTTTTGTCCCAGTTAAAAGCCTATAGCAGCTGCATTTTGAACCAGCTGCAGGCGTGCAATTGATACCTGTGAAACTCCTGAATACAAAGAATTACAGTAGTCCAATCTGGACATATTAAAAACATTAATGATGCTTTCCAGCTCTTTAGAAGACAGAAAATGCTTTAATTTGTCAATGTTCCTTAATTGATAGAAACCACTTTTGACGACTGAATTTAATTGCTTGTCGAACTTTAACTCAGAGTCAAAAGTAACTATAATTTTCACATTTTAAATTTAGTTTTAGATGTTCAGTGCTTGAGAAAGAAGGATAATGTTGCTTCCAATCTTTACAAATTATTAATTTTGCAAAGCAAGTTTATTGCAAAGGGTGCTGGTTCGAGCCTCGGTTTGCATGTTCTCCCCGTGCTTGCCTGGGTTTCCTCTGGGTGCTCCAGTATCCCCCACAGTCTAAAGACACGCACTGTAGGTGAATTGGGTAAGCTAAATTATTAGTATGTGTGTTTCAATTTTCCAGGCAATACACGTTCCTACTCTCACCTATGGTCATGAGCTTGGGGTCATGACCGAATGGACAAGATCTCGAATGCAAACATGAGAAATGAGTTTCCTTTGCAGGGTGGCAGGGCACACCCTTATAGATAGGGTGAGGAGCTGTGTCTCCCAGGAAAAGCTCAGAGTAGAGCTGCTGCTTCTCCACATTGAGAGAAGTCAGCTAAGGTGGCTTGGGCATCTGTTTTGGATGCCTCCTGGATGCCTACCTAGGGAGGTGTTCCAGGCATGTCCCACCGGGAGGAGGCCTCGGGCAAGACCCAGGACACACTGGAGGGCAGC